TAATGTGACTGTTACAATTCTTAATGGCAATTAAGATTGTAACATCAATGCATTAAATTGCTCTTAATGCTGTTGTAACCGCTGCATGCATTAACTCTTGAATACGAGGCAATCAATGGACGCGTTGCTACGAAACGCGAGGGTCACGTCTTAACAAATCAGACGAACCTCGTTTGACAAACGAACGTTGTCAAACAGGCGAACCTCGTATGATAGACGAACCTCGTCGAATGAGCGAATATAGTCAAGCAGGTGAACCTCGCATGACATACGAACCTCGTCGATCAAGCGAACCTCGTCAAGCAGGCGAACCTCGAATGACAGACGAACCTTGTCAACAAGCGAACCTCGTATGACAAGCGAACCTCGTCGAACGAGCGAACATAGTCAAACAGGCGAACCTCGTATGACATACGAACCTCGTCGATCGAGTAAACCTCGTCAAACTACAAGAACGCTAGGGTCACCCTCGTGCGAATACGCAGGTCGTCCGCATGATGCGAAGCAGCCTGCGAGGAAACCTTCGTGGCGACCATAGTAGCAGCCAACGTGGCGCCAAACAGCGCCACCTCGCCCCGATGTATCAGTGCGAAGTGCGCCTAACAAAGCGCCACTTAGCGCCTCAGTCCGATTAGCCACGGCCCACGACCCACGACCCACTAGAACTTATGAGGGATTAATTCAAATAAAATACTTCTCGGCTTGCCGTTGGCAAGCCTCGAACAAGGGACCTTTTGAAATACCAAAACTTTAACTTTCCATTAGGCTACAAAGCATTTATGAAAAATACTTGTAGTTAATATATATATAGTTTGAAAACTCATTTTGGAAAGCTATTTTTTGAACAAAAAATCCAACAGTGTTTTGACGTGAATTCCCAACATGGGTCGGCGAGGAGAGTTAGAGGTTTTCTCGGGGAGGCTAGTGGGGGGGGGGGGACGAGGGTAGGGAGAGTTGGGAGGCGGAGGTCAGAGGGGGGAAGGGATAGAGTTAGGGTTTTATATAAAAAAATTATTAAAAACAACCTAGACGGACATTCTGTCTACGTTGCTTTTTAATTTTGAAAAATTAAAAATTTTCCGTCTAGTTTAACATTCTAGACAGAATTCTCCATCTAGAATGTCTCAAACTAGACGAAGCAACCTAGACGGAATTAAAGGCTAACTCAAACTAGACGAAATTTTATTCCGTCTAGTTTGTTCCGTCTAGTTTGTTCGTTTTTCTACTAGTGTATGCAGTGTTTTCTGGTCACATCTCATGAAGCATTTTAACATATTCAATATGTATTACAAGGAATCGAAATTTCTAGATATGACATTTCTAACTATCGTAGCTGGCCACGTATCATGTTCTTTGGTTGAATTGCATCCTTGAGTATGAACTTTGAGTTTCGACTTCTTTGGTTACACATGCTGATTATATGAAAAATTGATCCGCACGATATGCGTGACATTTTTCTAAAAACATATTAAAAAAATTAGTTTTAAACATTTATTTAAAAATATTTCTTACACCTAATCACTTAAAAAAAGAGCAACATTACGATCAGTACCAATTGCTAAGATACAAAGTGGATTTAAAATTAATTCTTTTGAATATGTCAGATATGAACTTTCAATTTATACATAAAAACCCTTAGTAGGAAAAGTGTACGAGTTCTAAAATAAAATGTGGGTGGATGGAGGGGTTAAAACTCTGAGTTTAGGCAAAAGAACGTCTACAATTAGCGATTCCGCGACAGCGTGAAAAAAGCAAATATATAATGGGTAGAACATTTAATTACATTGTATACCTAAATGCTTATATACAAAATATAACAAGTTACAAAAACATATAGCCACTTTCACTATATGCTAGACTATAGAAATACAAAATGGGCTTAAAAATAATTAGTATTTTGGTGTAAAAGGGATTTTTAGAAGTGGTTAGATTTAAAAATAGACATGGGTAAAACTTTTAGGCCCCAATTTGGCAAAGAGTAAAGTGAGGGGTTAAGGAGAGTTAACCCCTCCTTAGCCCATTAAACATGAAATTTTTTTATAGAAGTTGTAAATTTAGTTAACCCCTCATATTTTATCAAACATAAAAAATAGCAGAAGGGTTTACAAACCCCTCTAGAGGGGTTAAAATAAGTTAACCCATAAAAACAAAGGGTTTACAAATCCACCTATTTAGATGGATTAAGAGATACACCCTTTGTTCATAAATAAAGTGATCATGATCCTTTTTATTCCTAAACATAAAAAAACGGCCAAAAAGATTAAATAAATTAATCTAACGGATAAAAATTTATACCTTTTATATTAGAATAATTTTTCACTGTAGACCCAAACTGAGTTTTTATTACCAAAATCGACCGATTTTTTTTAATTACCAAAATCGACCCGTTTTATGCCACATAAGCATAATCTCATTTCCTAATTAGTCAGGGTTGCCAACCCCGACTGTTTAGGAGTTGTTAAACCCCAATTAAATCAGGTTTAAGGCTTCTAATTAGGGTTTAACAACTCCTAAACAGTCGGGGTTGGCAACCCTGACTAATTAGGAAATGAGATTACGCTTACGTGGCATAAAACGAGTCGATTTTGGTAATTAAAAAAAATCGGTCGATTTTGGTAATAAAAAATCAGTTTGGGTCTACAGTGAAAAATTATTCTTTATATTAACATATGAGCTAACTGTGTTAACCCTTATTCTTAATCCTTATTTTTTAACCCTTTACCAAACATGACCTTAGTTATTATTATTATTTTGATAAGATAGGTAGGGTAACCTAACCAGACAAGTCCTCAACAGACCTTAGTTATTTCCAATCATTAAAAATGCTGTTAAGTACCTGACTCCCATAAAAATTTCAAATTAATCTTTCTAGTTGTTGCTTCTCCCATGATTTGGAGAGCTAATTTCATAATGATTTAAAAGTTTGTGGGACATAACATCAATTCAATAATTTGAGGGACCAATTTCTAAATAACTTTAGGATCACATGGCCTAATTGCAATTTTGTTATTTGAGGAATTAATTTCAAAATACGAGGGATGTAAGGGACTTGTATAGAGAAATAAACTTTTTAAGTGGGTGTGGTTTTTTAAAATAGACGTAAACAAAAAAAATTCTAATCCAAATATAAGAATCCAACCTGGGACCGGGACCTCCTCAATCCAAAGCTAAAATCCACCAACCAAACCAGGTAAACAATTTTTCAACAATCAGAGTTGTTATATATATGACCTCAATATATTTTCCTATTCAAGAATACAACTTCAGTCTATTTACATTTAATCTCGATGAATCACAAATTGTGAGTCACTGTCTCAAATTTACCATGAGAAGCGCTTCTAACTGGGGAGAGATCGTGTATGTTGTTGATTTTAAAGAACTTTTATTATTCACCAATCAAATCTTTTACACTGAGTAAACCTCATAAATAATATTAATTGTTTAAATAATATAAAAATATTTTTAATTATAGGATCCACAGAAAAAAAACCCAATAATAATAGCACATATAAGACATAGTAAGTGTTCTCTATGATCAAGATTGTAGAAAATTTAGATCCCTTCTAATATCAATTTTTTAACTCCTGATGTTTTACATTATCTCAAAAATAATCATGCTATTAATTTATGGAAGTTTAAAGTCAAGCTCAAAATTCATGAGATAATTTTCAGGAATTTGATGTGGCACCTGTGAAGTCTCCGGATTTGGTGGGCCGCATACTACCTTGTTGGGTCTGTTTGATTGTTGATGTTGTTTTTTTAACCGAAGAAATATGGAATACAGATGGTTTCCTCCCATTTCTATACAAAATAATAAAATAAATTTACTTATTATAGGTCACATCAACCAATATGAGGATAGCATGTCATCTTTTTCACTTGGTTTGGAACAAGAGAAAATAAAATGTTAGAGGAAATAAGTTTTCTCTGACTACTTTTCATTGGGTTTTCCGCCAACCAAACAACTCCTAAATCCTAGACCAAAATTTTCATGTGTGGGTCCCACGTGCCATTGATTGGGGACCTGGTGGAGTTTTCACAGATGCTCATGAACTTTATTTATCTCACTTAACACCTAAGTGTTGGGAAGCATCACAAATCCTAAACTTTAAACTTTTCTTACAATAACCTGTATATGTAATTTGAAAAAATATATATTTTCCTTCACCTTTCGTTTGGGGTATCAGAATCAAATGAACTGTGAATGGAATGAAACAAGGAAAAACTTAATGTTGAAATCAAATATTTATTTTTATTTTCACGTTTGTATGCGATTAGTGAATAAGGTGTCATGGACATATTTGGGGTCATGTATTTTTTTATTCCCACTTAAGTAGCTGTGAACGTACCCTCACGTCTCATTGGGAATTGCCATTTTTAAATATCTAGAAATTGATAAGAAGAGCGAGATTTCTAGTTTTTGAAAACACATTGTATTTGATACCAAGGAATAAGAAACGGTAATTAACATTCTATCCACATCCATTCCCTTATGCCAAACAAGAAGTGAAAGTAAAAAAAACCCCACAATTTAAAGACGGAAAGTGTATCGCGGATAAATAACAGATAAAAAAATTAAGATCCCCCCTCCCGGTGGGATTTTAGTTATCTTCAAGTTACATGAACTAGTTTGCGGTCCGTGCAAAGCATGGTATTTTTTTTTGCTACAGTAATCCCGTTTTTTTTAATATGGCATGATTTGAATTTTTGAAAGTGCTACAGTACCCCGCTCTGCTACAGCACCTTTTAAGTGCTACAGTATACCCGTGTGCTACAGCAATATTTTAAATTAATTATTAGCTACAGTAATAATGCTACTGTAGTATTTACTGTAGCATGAACAGTGAATCTCTGATCATCCTATTTGTATAAAGGAATAGATGAGAGTACGGTGAGAAAAAGGTGAAGTTGAGAGGGGGGTTTTGGAAGACTACCAAAAGTTTAGGGGGTTATGTAGAAAACCTCCCAAAGCTCAAGAGGTGAGTCGTGAAATTAACGCTACAGGTTTTTGCCCCTAAACCCCTGAGTCCCTGAGTCTCCTTGCCCAAATTTCTCCCTAAATCCTCTATTCCCCAATCTCAGTTCGCCTTAAACAAAGCAGCCAAAATAGAGAGAGGGACAAAGGGATACATGTTTCAATCCAAGCAAAACGCATCTCAATCTTCGAAAAAGGTAATATTTCCCCCCCTCTAGTCATTAACATTTCAATAGCCCCATGCTCTGCGTTTATATTGTTAAATCATCCCTTTCTCTCTTTATCAGGAGCCATGGCTGGCTACAAGTTTGAAGCCAGAGAATTTTGTACCAGGACTCCTCATTGGATTCCTTTTGGGTCTTTTCTTGGATTTGTCTTCAGCTCGTCGAAGTGGGTTTAAAGGGAAATCTTCTCCTATTGCAGGCAAGCAGCGATCCCTTGCTTCTGATAATGGCGGCGAAGAGCTGAAGATGGTATCGGCTCTATTTTCTTAGAATTCTAGTTTTGCTTTTTTACTTTTTTTTTTTCTTCCTTTTTTTCGGTTCTGTTGTTGTTGTTGTTGTTGTTGTTGTAGGGTTGAAGAAATTTATGACATGCGCAGATTTTTCTTTGGCTTATTTTGAACTGTACCCATGTCCCAAAATCTTTTCTTTAAAGCAAAATTGAATGGTGTATTTGTTAGTTTGAATTAGGCTCATGCTTAAACTAGCTTTTTCATAATTAAGGATCAGTCCAGGTTCATATTTATAGAAATTGCACGAGAAGAAAATGAGCACTCAGAAACTTGAAGCTTATAAGGACACTTATTAATTGCTGCTACTATTTTTGTACATGCAACAGCGTGGTGAGATTAGATATCTAATGCTGTCAATAAAAGTGGGGAAAAACTTCTCTTGGATGACTTACAACAAAATTGTTGTCTCTGTAGAAACTGCAATCGCAGTTGATCTTCTATTTAGATAAAGGCATGTTCAAGTATCAGAGGGGTAGCCCAGTAGGTCACATGGAAAAGCCGTGTCGCTCCCCGTGGGAGAGTCTGTGTTCGATTCCCATGTGCGCCAAAGGCTGGTTATTTTGCCTTTTCTTTTCTTTTTACTAATGAATTCGGTTGTAAAATGGCTGCAATTATGCAATTCCAAGTATCTACTGTTATTGTTACGAGTATGGCTAATAGAATGGCTTGTCAAATCTTCTCATGGAAAATAAACCAATAGATTAATTTTAATTTTTTTTTTGTCTCTCAGAGAAAATAATGTATTGGAAATTGCAGGTTTTGGTTGTTAGACAAGACCTCAGGATGGGAGCTGGAAAAATTGCATCTCAATGTGCCCGTAAGATGCAACTATTCTACTAGTTTTTTCAGTATCAGTTTACAATTAGACAATCACTACATGTTTGGTTCATGAAATGCTATGAGTTCAACTACTTTTTGTTGTAAATTTTGTATATGTGGGGTGATACCTTTTTCACTCTATTCTCAACAAATCATTTACTGAAATTACTATTACTGCCTGTTTGTTGTCATTGAACTCCTCTAATCTGCAAGCTGCATGGGCTTCTAAGTTCTAAATTTCTTGTTATTTCTTTTCTTTTTCCAATTTAACTATTGATTATCCTTTTCAAATTGGCAGATGCAGCCACTGGCATGTACGCGGAGCTACTACAAAGGTGCTTATTATTTAGCTGAATTAATCAGATGGTTTCTTCCATAAATAAGCTTCCTTTTATTTATATCTGTATACGTTTTAGACTGTTATTTGTGCTGCCACGGTATTAGCCCATTAGATGTGTATTCTATTTTAGATAATATAACAGCTTTCAAAGTTGATATTTTGAGTCTTAAAAGTTATATAAAAAATATTCTGTTGCCTTGAGAATATTAGGTTCACACTTATAAAATGAAGATCAGAAAGACTATTAAAGCAACTCATGTATTTCATGATTTCCTGTTGTCTATGAAAAAGTTCATCATCGTCGGGGAATAATTGTATATTGGAAACATATCTATGGATCTCTGACTCCTACTGTTAATTGAATGCTACAGAGCATATTTTTACAAAAGCATAGGATACAGGGACACTCTTCTAACTGACATACACCTCAGGTTGGAAACTTATGTGTGACTTGTTTATGTGTCTGCAACATATCCAATATCAATATTGTATTAGTTTCAATATTGGTCTTTGCAGACAAAGAGGCAAATCTTTGTTTTTTAATGCTTGCATGATTGGGTGTCTATTGTTCTAATAAGTCATTATGATTTTTAGGGACGGGCTTGTTCATATATTCCCAAATTTATTTTGAATAGAAATAGGAATGACCAAGTAATTTTTGTCTATGCAAGTTGGGAATGTGTTCTTGTTGTTTCGTTACCAATTTCATCTGCTCTTTCTATTATGCACCTTAGTTTTGTGATTTTTAATGAGTTCATAATCATTTCCTTCTCTCATCATAGAATGCTCAATTAAGCTTTAGTATGCACAGTTCCAAGGAATTACACATCAAACAATTGTTACACTTCATGAATTATCATGTCACCTCCAACACAACACTGCTTTGCTATCAAGTTTTCATGCCTCTTAGCTCAAGATATTTTCATTTGATTTATAAATTGAATTGATGTTCATAATTTCCTATGCATCCTATTATTATTCATGTTTAAGTAGAGAAGAAGCTGTATATATTGTTTCAAATCTTTGTACTGATAAGTGGTTGTACTTGTATGTATGTTTGGAAATTTCTTTTTGGTTTGTGCCATCTGTGCTTTATTTCAAGTGTCTGTTTTGCTTCATCGCGCCATCTATTCTCCTCGTGAACTTAGGGAGATGGATGTATGAATTAAATTTCTGAGCAAGGTGTTAAGTGGATAACCTATGGTAAATCTTTATCCTTTTAAATTGCATTAGTTGAGTTTTTTAAAAAACCACACATGGCCTGTTGAGATCTGGTAACAGCTTTCTAATATTACAAAACGAGTGAGACAATGGTACCTATCTTTCCCTCTTTAGATAAATTACTACCATATAATAGTGTTGTCAATTTGAGTGGAACCACTCTAATAGCTTGGCACATACGCAGCTCAACAGTAGGCGTGATCCTGGGCACCCACTTAAAATATTGCTACAATGTGTAATTTCTTGAATCTGCTAACTGCTTCCACATTGTATGGTACATAATAAATATTAAAAATGTCAGAGAAAATGATGTGTATTTCTTCATTATATTCTTATGAAGTCATTTCTTTTATGTATTTCCATTTTAATTCATGTAGACATATCTTTATGCTTTTGTTTTATAAAGTTATCTAATTCCTTGTTTTTGCAGCCATCGGTTTCTTTTGAGACGATGGGAACAATGTGGTCAGGCCAAAATAGTATTGACATGCAAGAATCAACAAGAAATGTATGCAAAGATATCCTACTCCAGTGATTGAATTTCTTCTCATTGAAAGGAAATAACTACAATTTTTTGTCCTTAATCGTCACAAATCTCTCCTCTCTCATAGTCATCTGAATGATTCCTATGAACTTCATCAGGAATAAGCTAAAGGAAGCAGCTGACCGATGTGGCCTTCCGACTTTTATTGTTGCTGATGCGGGACGAACAGAGGTTTTCCTTTTCTTGTCTCATATAAATTTGTTGTGTACATTGCGTGATAATTAATAACTCAAATGAATTCCTAAACTAGCAGGATTTCTTTTTAGTGACAAATAACTTTCCTAGTATGCTTGTGAAGCTGCATTATATTACCATATGATGATTGTAAATGGCAAATGTGCTCGACTCAAGTAGCTCATAGCTGATGCTGAAGAACTATTCTAATTGCGCTCGTTTGTGATCACGTAGGCAAATCTCATTTATTTATGTTTTGTTAGGTTAAAGCTGGGTCAAGGACAGTACTCGCCATTGGTCCAGGTACTCAATATGATTGCACGTACAAAGCTTGTTGGCTTAATTATCCTGATGTAGTCTTTTTTCTTTCTTATTCTTTTACCTTCTGTTGTTTAACTGTTGCTTCTGGTTGTCTTGAAGTTGAGCAAGTGAATTTGTAAAAGAAGCTTCATTCTAAGCCGAAGCTCATACTTCTGGTTAGCCTTAGAAATCTAATTGATGTTTCTAAACAGGGAAAAAGGCTGACATTGATTCAGTTACTGGGAAATTGCGACTTATGTAAACTTGGTGAGGGCTCCACAGGTTGGTAATTATGCATCTTCCCATTTTCTCTGCTATAATAGACCAGCTAATATACAGATTTGACTTGCTAACTTGAACCGAATTTATTAACCAACCATTGGATAGTCTGGAATCTACCTAAAGCCTCGAATCCATTGGGTAACTTGTTAGAATTGTAGTAAAATAATTCAGTATTAAATCAATAACCGAAATCAAATTGAATAAAGTATTACTAAAAAGAACTATTAGTGAGGTATGTCAAGTGACGAATCTCCTTAAGACAAATTACGCCCCCCTGCTATGGTGCTTATAGGATGATTGGATGCTCTCTCCCAAAATACAACACTCATTCACAGCTTCAGAGAAGCACTTCTGCAAAGCTGTACTAGCGAACCAAAGCTAACTGTGCCTTCCACCACTTGACCGAAAAGGAAAACGAATGGAAGAAGAACGAACACAAAATTTAGAATCTCTCTTAAACACAATGGATTTGATTTTAATGTTGAGTATTTTGGAAATGAGATTTTGAGTTCCTTTTATAGAGACTAGGTGTCTTTTGAAAACATCTCTTCACCAAAGGACACGCCCATTCGGAATAAAAAGAAGTGACTGTTTGGGTTCGAACAGACACAACTCAACCGAACAGTTGCGACTCTTTGTAATTAGATGCGCGCCCATTAAACTTTAGTTTTGTTTCCATCTTCCGACTTGAATATCTCATTCATTTGGAAACCAATTTGGACAATTGAGTGTACTAGATTCATTGTCTTTGAATGAAGAATGCGTTCAAACTCACTCATCCATTTCGGACAGTGGGACCCACCAAAAAGTTTAGCTCAATTTGCCTAAAAATTCACTTGGAAAAATCTAAGTTTCCCTAACAATCCCCTACATGAATAGAGATTCAAGAAAATTGACTAACTATGAAACTGACTCTGTAGTGAAAAGCACTTTAGGACAGTAGCCACATCGGGATAGGTGAACTAGGTCTTGAACATTTCATAGTGAAACCTTATTGGACTTACTAGACCAATCAATGAACTAGGTCTTGAACTATCAGTCTTAGATGTTTGCCTAGTCAACAGGTTTCACACAGCAACTTCCCAAAATCAGCTTTAGTTCTCAGTTGTGTCCATTTTGGTCGTGGACATTCTTGGTTTCAGAAAACGTCTTTAGAGAATCACAGCCTCCATTGAGATTCTCAAAGAGCCGACCCTCAGCTCTACACTTACATAGGTGATCATTCTATAAAGAGTAGCCTACTCTACTTGTTTTTTTAAAACAAGCTATATGCATCATTAAAAGCTTTACGCTTATCCTAAACCCATTTGTAGGACGCACTTGGTGCACCATAGGAATGGGATGAAGACAAGCTCCTAAGTGCTTACTCCTTAAGTCAATCATAACCAGTTTTTCCCTTTGAACTTGGTCCGTGGGATCTTCAGTCGCCAAGTAGGATTTCCATTAAGTCGACTCAGTATGGTTAAGCTTTTAGCCCCATTCTCCTCGATGTGCAGCTTATACGCTCTCCACTTAAACCTTTAGTAAACAGATCCACTAAGTTATCTTTTAACGCCACAAAGTCAATGGAGATAACTCCATTTGAGAGCAGGTGCTTAACGATGTTGTGTTTGCGACGAATATGTCGAGAATTATCGTTATACACAAATTCTGTGCCCTTTGAATCGTTGCTTGGTTGTCGCAATGAATGCATATTGCGGGCACAGGCTTAGACCATAATGAAATATCCTTGAGGAACTGTCGAAGCCACTCTGCTTGTTCCCCAGCTTTATCTAATGCAATAAACTCTGACTCCATCATGGAGCGAGCTATGCATGTTTGTTTCGAGGATATCCAAGATATAGTCACACCTCTGAGAGTAAAGACATCCACTAGTTGATTTCGATTCCCCGGAATCCGCAATCCAGTTAGCATCACTATACCCTTCAATTACGGTTGGATACTTTCCATATCTCAATGCATAATCCTTGGTACTCTTCAAGTAGCCTACTACTCTTAGTAAGGCTTGGATACTTTCCATATCTCAATGCATAATCCTTGGTACTCTTCAAGTAGCCTACTACTCTTAGTAAGGCAGACCAATGATCTTTAATAATCCTTGGTACTCTTCAAGTAGCCTACTACTCTTAGTAAGGCAGACCAATGATCTTTACCGGGATTATTAGTGTACCTACTTAGTTTACTTATAGCGTAAGCAATATCTGGCATTGTGCAGTTCATTAGGTACATTAGACTCCCGATGATTTGTGAATACTCCAGTTGCTTCGTTGCAACTTCTGTATTCTTACGAAGGTGAATGTGAGGGAGGAAAGGATTTGTGTTTCCTTTGATCCCATTTTTTTTGAATCTTTCTAACATCTTGTCTATGTAATATGACTGAGATAGAAAGATTACATGCAGTGTTCTACTAATTTTAATGCCTAAAATTACGTTAGCAACACCCATGTCCTTCATATCAAAATTGTTGATTAGCATTTGTTTGGTGGACTTAATGACTTCATCATTAGTCCTAAGAATCAGCATGTCGTCTACGTATAGACAGACAATAATGCATGCCTCTCCAACTGTCTTAGTGTAAACACACTTCTCGCTTTCGTTTATTGTGAATCCATCATTGATCATGACACTATCAAACTTCTCATGAATCTCGTGCTACTGTTTTGGAGCTTGTTTTAGCCCGTATAATGACTTAACCAATCTGCACACCTTGTGCTCTTGACCTTTAGCTTGGAACCCTTCTGGTTGTTCCATGTAAATTTCTTCGTTCAATTCATCATTTAGAAACACAGTCTTCACGTCAATTTGATGTATTTGCAGATTGTGCAGAGCAACAATTGCAATTAACATCTGAATGGATGTTATCCTTGTTACAAGTGAATATGTATCGAAGTAATCAAGTCCTTCCTTTTGTCGGTATTCCTTTGCTACCAACCTAGCCTTGTATTTCTCAATCGATCCATCGGATTTTAATTTTCGTTTGAAAATCCACATACTCCCGATTTACTCCCTGGTGGTAAGTCAATCAACTCTCAAGTATGGTTATTTAGAATGGACTCGATTTCGCTGTTTACTGCTTTTTTCCACATTTGTGCTTCTGGTGTAGACATAGCCTCTTTGAACGTTTAAGGTTCACTCTCGAGCGCATATGCTACAAAGTCTGGACCAAAAGATTTGGAGACTTTCATTCTCCTACTCCTTGGTTCAACTTCCTCATTGCTTGTTGGTTCATTTGGACTTTCATCCCTGAACGCAATTTCGTGTGTTCTTTTCTCAGAAGTCTCACTATTATCCCTCTTGTAAGGAAATCTATCTTCAAAGAACACAGCTTCCCTTGACTCGATAATCATGTTCACATGAATATCAGGGATCTCTGATATATGTACCAAAAATCTGTAGGCATTGCTATTCAATGCATAGCCTATGAACACGCAATCTACAGTTTTTGTTCCTAACTTGATCTTCTTACGTAGTGGTGCTGACACCTTTGCAAGACACCCCTACATTTTGAGGTAATGGTAGGAATGAGGTCTTTTATGCCATAACTCAAATAGTATAAGACCAAGTTTCTTGTGGGGTACCTTTTTCAGGATATGATTAGCGGTAAGCAGCGCTTCCCCTCACAAGTTTTGTGATGCTCCAGAACTTACAAACATGACATTGACCATCTCCTTCAAAGTTCTGTTCTTCCTCTCAGCTTACAAACATGACATTGACCATCTCCTTCAAAGTTCTGTTCTTCCTCTCAGCAATCACATTTTGCTGAGGTGTATAAGGTGTTGTAGTTTGGTGGATGATACTAAAGTTAGCACACAACTCATCAAACTCTGTCGATTCATATGCTCCTCCTCGATCGGATTTGAGAATCTTAATCTTTTTGGTGAGTTGATTTTCCACCTTGGCTTTATATGTTTTGAACATATCAATCTCGTCTTTATTGCTTAGAAGATACACATAACAGTATCTAGTGCAGTCATCGATAAAAGTAATGAAATACTTTTTCCCGCCTCTCGTAGGCGCAAACTTTAAGTCGCATAGGTCACTGTGAATCAACCCTAAAGGTTCAGTGTTTCGTTCAATTGAATGAAACGATCTCTTAGCATACTTTGCTTCTACACAAGTTTCGCACTTATGTATTTCATCCAGGTTAAGTATTGGAATATGTCCTAGATTTGACAAGTTTCTTAAGGACTTATAATTGACGTGCCCTAGCCTGACATGCCACAAAGAAAGAGACTCAAGCAAATAAACAGAAGATCCTTCTTTATTATTAATCATTTTTGGGTACAAGTACACGGACTTTTTGTCCACAAAAGCAACATTTGCCTTAAAAAAGGCCATCCAACAAGTAACCCTTGCCCACATAAACCCTACCCTTCTTACTCAACACTGAGCTTGATGTTAGGTTCTTCTGGATATCTGGAACATGCAACAAATCGTTCAGAGTCAAATCCTTTTCAGAAGTCCATTTTTAAATCACCTTGCCCTTTCCCTCAGCCTTGGAAGATTCTGAGTTCTTCATAAAGAGATTATCGTTATGTTCCAACTTCTAGTATACAGCAAAACATTTTGTCCGAGCAGATGTGTTTGGTTGCTCCAGTATCGACCCACCAATCTTTGCAATTGGTTGCCAGGTTCACTTTTGAAACAACAGCAGAGAGGTGCATGTCAGTCATATCAGGGGAGATGTGGTCAGTCATATTGGCCTGTGGCTGGTTCTTGTTCTTCAGACGGTTGCGACACTTGTTCACGTTATGTCAAAGATTGTTGCACACAAAGCAAGTACCATTGAAGCGTTTTGCGCCTTCCTGGTTCTTTCCCTTGTTCTCCGAGGGTTTCTCATTCCTCTTTCGTTTCTTAAAATTCTTGGAATTGGAGCCCTTCCCCTTGGATTCTTCGACCATATTTGCTTTTGCCTCATAGGAGTTTTTGGAACCCCTCTTATCAGCTAAGCGATTGTCCTTTTCGATCCGAAGACGGACTATGAGATCCTCCAGACTCATCTCCTTACGCTTATGCTTCAGATAGTTCTTGAAATCTTCCCATCCAGGAGGTAGCTTCTCAACAATAGTTGCAACCTGAAAAGATTCAGACAAGGTCATACCTTCAGCCTCAATCTTGTGAAGAATGAATTGGATCTCCTAGACTTGGTTGATCACAACCTTTGCATCCACCATCTTGTACTCCAGAAATTGTCCCACGACGAACTTCTTCGTACCGACATACTCAGTTTTGTACTTCTTGTCAAGACTTGCCCAGAGTTCCTTAGCCGTTTTGAATGGACTATACACATTGTACAATGTGTCCTCCAACGCATTTAGGACATAGTTTCGGCAAAGGAAGTTTCCATTTTTCCATGCATCGATCGCCAGAACGCTATTCTTGTTGGCGGTATCTAGTGCTGGACATTCCTCTTGCAGAAATTTGGTCAGGTTCAACGTGGTCAGATAAAAGAACATCTTTTGCTGCCAACGTTTGAAGTTCTTCCCACCAAACTTTTCTAGCTTGTCATGCTTCATCACCGGAAGCGGTCTAGACACCGCACTCTGACTTGGAATAGTCATTATTCCTTAATTTCCCCCTTCTTGAGTGGTAAACTTTTTTCTACACATGCACAAAATTAATTAGTAATTAGAATAAAATTACTGGTCTCCTGTTTGATTAAGAGAGATCAAAGATCAGTGATCAAGATCTCGGTAGAAACATAAATAATTACTGCATATAACCGGATGAAAAAAATATAATTTGTCTTGAGATTGTTAGAGTCATAGTAAAATAATTTAGTATTAAATCAATAATCGAAATCAAATTGAATAAAATATTCCTGAAAAGAACTGTTAGGAAAAACACTTTTAGAAGAAGCACTTTTGTAGGAGAGAAAGAACTAGAATTGCTGCAGTGAGGTACGTCAAGTGACGAATCTCCTTAAGACAAATTACACCCCCTGCTATGGTACTTATAGGATGATCAGACGCTCTCTCCCAAGATACAACACTCCTTCACAGCTTCGGAGAAGCACTTCTGCAAAGCTGTACTAGCGAACCAAAGCTAACCGTGCATTCCACCACTTGACCAGAAAGAGAAACGAATGGAAGAAAAACGAACACAAAATTTAGATCTCTCTTAAACACACTGGATTTGATTCAATGTTGAGTTTTGGAAATGAGATTGTGGATTGCTTTTATAGGGACTAGATGTCTTTTGAAAACATCTCTTCACCAAAGGACACGCCCATTCGGAATTAAAAGAAGTAATTGTTCGGGTTCGAACATCCACAACTCAACCGAACAGTTGCGACTCTTTGTGAATAGATGCGCCCATTAAACTTTAGTTTTGGTCCATCTTCCGACTTGAATATCTCATTCATTCGGAAACCGCCATTAAACTTTAGTTTTGGTCCATCTTCCGACTTGAATATCTCATTCATTCGGAAACCGATTTGGACAAGTGAGTATACCAGATTCAATATCTCATTCATTCGGAAACCGATTTGGACAAGTGAGTATACCAGATTCATTGCCTTTGAATGAAGAACGCGTTCAAACTCACTCTCATCCATTTCGGATAGTGGGGCCCACCAAAAAGTTTAGCTCAATTTGCCCAAAAATTCACTTGGAAAAATCAAAGTTTCCCCAACATAACTACGAAAGAATTCAATTAAAATCTAAACGTTCCAAAAGTTGCTGGCAAGCACTCTTTTATAGATACGAAATATCAAGGCTCATACTCAAATAAGAACTCTCTAACTAACGCTAGTCTTACTAAACAAATCAATCCTAATCCCATTATGATTACCAGTAGAAATCTTAGAAAGGAGATAAAAGGGAATTCACAATTTACTCTAAAAGTTAATTAAATCGCTAGATGCTTATTATAAGCAGTTGAAAAATAGTTCTGTCAGATGACAAAGTTAACTAGCGCTATACATTCACCGATGACTAAATTTCTCATCTTATGTCAAGTAAGCCCCAATAGTTTAGAGTTTCATTTCTTTGTCAGGTGATGAACTTTGGCAAGGCTTTAGTGTTTGTATAGGCCGCAAGCAATTTTGATTTGTGTTTGACAGCTTCATAGATTTTATCACTATCTCAGATTCTCAGGTCTTATAGTCCGGTATCCTCTTTTCTCAAGTTAGTTGCCAGCATTTGTACTTCAGTCACATTTGTGTAAAAGCATGCGGAGAGAATATCATTAGTTAACTTGTGCGTCCAGGATCAACTTTGAGATGGAAAAACTCACTCCCCGAGACCATCCAAACTTTCACGAGAGCTCAAGAGCCAGTTTCCATGACCCGTCAAGATTTCAAAACATGGAAGCCATATAGCTCTCTTTGTTGAACAATGCTAGAGCAATCATCGTCGGTTTTGATAGTTCAGCAAAGGTTGTTGCAATGCTGAGGTGTGTATCTGGGCTAAAGTGAGAAGATGGATTGTTCAACTTAGAATGTTAAGATGTTATAAGACGTATATTGTACTTAATGATTGATATTTAGGCAGTTCACTTGTTTCGATTTCATTTTGTCCTCCTGATCTTTCTCTTCATGAAATCTGAAATTTGGAGGAAATGGATTGCGTTATATAGGCATAATAACAAGCTTCATGTCGAAATTCACGAGTATGTATTTCATCAGCAAACTGTATCTGAAAAATTAGCGAACGTGAGATGATAAGACGCAAGTAACACGTAGGGTTAGGGTTTTGTCCGTTGATATAGCAGGGAAGGAGCTGAAAAGTTTATAGATATCAACAACAACGTTGGTATGTAATACTGACACGGTGAGGGGGGGGGGGGGGGGGGGATATTAGATGGCTAATAAGTAATTCTTTATCTCCATTTTGGTTTCAACACTTTCCACTCTATAATACTAAACCCGGACATAGTTTTATTTTCGACTACCATTAGTCCCAATAGACATTAGAAGACATGTTTGTTTGCACATAAGCAGCTAGTGTAAAGGAAATAGAAGCTATTTATCATACATCCAAGCAAAATAAAAAAAATGTTTCTCTCTCTCTCTCTCTCGATAGCCCATCTCAGAATCGAACCATGAAAGACATTTTGGAACCTCCCAGCTATCCGGGTCACTCCTGGTGGGTCTCTTTCTCTGTGCTTAACAATAGTTTTATAATTTTTATCCAAATAAAAAAAATAAGTGAGCGGAAGAAGTACTATTTCCACTATTTTTGCTTAACAATAGTTTTATAATTTTTATCCAAATAAAAAAATAAGTGAGTGGAAGAAGTACTATTTCCACTATTTTTAAAAATATGTTGGATGTTAATTTCGCTATTTCATACTTCATGATTTTAGAATTACTAGATTAGATGCACGTGCATTGCACGTGGTTAATTATCATTATTTTGTTTTCTATTTTCTTACTTAACTTGGTTGGGAAATATTTCTTTTAATTTCACGTGAAAAAGTAAAATAATTTATTGCCTATACACTATATAATTAATCAAAAGTATTAAAATTACCATAACCAAAGTCAAAATTACATGGTCAATTCACATTAAACACAATTTACAATAAATAGTACATGAAGCACAATTTACAATAAATAGTATAAAAATAATTTTTATGCAAATAATTTCATTCTCAACGCAATCCTACGTTTTCATCTTATAATTTGCACGAATTCACAGTATTTTATACCTTTTACAGTTTTAATAATTAATTTCCATTTTAATGTTATATCCCATGAGGCTAATAGGCTCCTAAGGAAAGATCACGTACCATTAACCATGGATCTTAACTATGATAATTTTTCCAATATAATATTATTATATTCTATATGTTTATGTTCTGGATTGTCAAAGCAATTTTATGAAATGACTAATTAATATATTTTATGCTAGTATGTATGTTTTTCGTGGTAGAATAACTTGTTATTTAAGACATAAAATTGCTTTGTAGCTAACTTTGACTATTTCACGTAATTGGAGATTTGCTCATATCTTTAAATTATGTTAATTTTTATAATGAGCATGAAATTCCTATTTAGTTGAAGAATCTTCTCCATTTCATTCGATTACTCTTGTAATTCAAAACTTTTTTAGTTCAACTGCCTTAGTTACACCTTCTATCAGGATTCATATATATTTCTTAGTACCTAGTGGCTAGTGTTACTCTAATGGGATGTAGTTATTCTAATTCAAGTCTGTCAAAATAATTACAAGTGGTGAAGACTCTAAATCTTTTGAAATGATATATAATGAATATCTCATAATAAAATATCAAAAAACTTAAACAACACATATTTGAGTAGTTTTACTCACATAAAAAATTTTTCATTAACATATTGAACATTTCAAAGCCTCGCAATTGGTGATGACCCTAAATATTTTAAAATGATATATATTGAACGTCTCATGATCAAAACACCAGAAAAACTTAAATGTGGCTAAAACTAATTTCTACCACTTTTCGCGCATGTCTATAAAGTGTAATATAAGAATGTAAAATATTTAAAATAAAATGTATTAAGTTAGAATTTAGTTTTAAATTAAGAGCCTTATTTGAATAATTTTAGATATACATAATTCCTTTTACTGAACATACATATTGAACATTTTAAAAGCTTAAATATCGAAGTTTTTACTTTTCAAACTACCTTTTCAGTCATAAAAAATAAAAAAAACCTTTTCCACTGAGTATGTTGCTTATAGTAAAATATTGTATTTTTCCTATTTAATATAGTAAATTATTAAGCAAACTATATATCTCATGTTTAGTGCGGATAACTATGCGAATAAAGTAAAATATTTTAAACGCTAAATATCAACAGAAAAGCCTGTTAACTTTGGATGATAATCAGAAGATCCCACATAACTTTAAAAATATCAATATTTTCCACTGAGATGGTTGCTTATAGTAAAAGATTGTATTTTTCCTATTTGATATAGTAAATTATTAAGCAAGCGATATATCTCACGTTTAATGCAAATAACTATGAAAATAAAGTAAAATATTTTAAACGCTAAATATCAACAAAAAAATCCCTGTTAACTTTGGATGATAATCAGATAATCCCACATAACTTTAAAAATATCAAAAAGTTCACTAAATTTTAGTGGTTATCAGAAAAACCCTTTAACTTTGAGATTTTTATCAGGAAACCACTTCAAAAGTGATAATTTTAGGGGAATTTTCTATTAAAATATCAAAGTGGAGGGTTTTTTTATAAGATCTAAACGTTAAAGGGTGTTTCTTGTAATCACTACTTAATCATATTTTATAATATTATATCTAAAAAATAATGGATTAATTTAATAAAAGCCCCTTAACTATTTTAATATGAGGAAACCCCCTCAAGTTTAGGCGTATTGTAGATAAACCTCCTCAACTATGAAACTTTAAGATAATTCCTTGAACTTTCCTCATTTAACTCCCGTCAAATATAGAGATTCTCTATGAAAACCCCCTAAACTATTTTTATTTGAGAAACTCCATCAGATTTGAGCTTAATATAGATAATCTCCCTTAAGTTTGAAAATTTAAGAAATCACCACGATCTCTTCTCACTCTACGTCCTGAAAGCTAACATTGTTACCTAATAACTCTATAAGTTTATATTTTTTTCACTTAACTTGAAATATGTTTTGGCAAAAAAAAAAACCCCAAATATCGGATGTTTACAATTTTAAGATTTTTTAGAAGTTTTTTGTAATTATTGGAATTGTCAAGAGGTTGATTATAATTTTTAGATGTTTGGGAGATTTGCTTCTAATCATAGATTTTTTTTGGTTGTTTGATTTTTTATATTTTTTCGGTTTTTTTAGTAATTTTCTTGATGGTTCTTTGTAATTTTCTAATTTAAAGGGGTTGTTTATGATTTTTCAGATTTTTAGGGGGCTATATACAATTTAAATTCTTTTAGAGCGCTATTTGTAATATTTAGTTTTTATTGGATTTTTTTGTTATCTTCATATTTCATTTGTTTTTTGAAAATTTGAATTTTTAGGAGTTTGTTGTTTACTTTTTAAATTTTAAAGGAGGTTACTTGTACTTTTTAGATTTTGCATAGATTGTTTATAACTTATGAAATTTTTATGGATTATTTATAATTTTAGAATGATAAGAGTCTTTTTTTACTTTTTTAGATTTTCCAAGGTTTTCATGAAAACCGTCAAAATTAACATGAAGGTAAATCTCACTAAACCCCCAATAATTTTACTATTTGGAACTAAATCTCATAAATCTTTAAAACTCTAACTAAACGCCCAATAAGTTTTGGCAGAAAATCCTCGAAATTAACATCATTAATTCATGCATAGTCAGATGACCAAAGTACACACCAATAACCCAATAAGTTTTACATTTTTCACTAAAGCCCTAGCAATTTTTAGCAAAAAACCCAAAAAATGGTCATTTATATTTATCAGATCTTTTCAAAGGTTTATTTATATTTATTGGAATTTTCAAGAGGTTGATTGTAATTTTTAGATTTTAGAGGGGTTTGTGTCTTATGTTTGATTTTTTGGAGCGTTGTTTATACTTTTTATATTTTTTTAGGTTTTTATAATCTTTTTAGTGTTTCTTTGTAGTTTTCCAACTTAAGGGATCAATTTATTACTTGTAGGATGCTTAGGGGGCTGTTTGCAATTTAAAAATTTTAGGATACCATTTATAATATTTTACTTTTTATGGGATTTTTTTGTAATTTTCATATTTTTCATATATTTGTTGATTTTTTTAGTTTTTAGGGTTGTTTATATTTTTTTTAATTTTTAAAGGGGTTTGTTTGTATTTTTTGGATTTTAAAGAAGTTTCTGTGTAATTTATGAATTTTTGTTTGCTATTCATAAAATTTAGAACTTTAAAGGTATTTTCTTTACAACTTTAAGATTTTCAAGGATTTTTTACAATTTTAAATTTTTAGGGGCCTATATGTTTTTTGTAGCTTTCAAAATTTTTTGAGTATTATTTGTAATTTTAGATTTTTAGTAGCTATTTGTAATTTTTCATATTTTTTGGGCAGCTTATTAATTTATGGGTTAACTTGCAAATAATATCGGTTTGAGGGGTATATACTATCCTTGAGGATTAATTTTAGTCAATGTGAAATTTTAGGGTAACGCCATTTTGGAATTTAAGTGCAAAAGTTCAAAATATTTTGGTTGCTTTCTGAAATTATCTAACTTACTAAGAATTTGATGAGAATTGCAGATATTTGGGGAGTTTAATGCTCAATTTAAAGTTCTGAAATATTCATTGAAATTCACTTTTTAAAATAATTGAGGGACAATGACATTTTTTTAGATTTTTTAAATTGCGGATAGTTAGAACTTGTTTAGAAATTAACAAAAAATTAATGAATAGAATTTTCTACTTTTTTATGAATATGAATTTCTAGTAATGAGTATGAATAACTTTAATTTAATAAGAATTCTTGGGAAGATAGAATTAGTTGGATACATGTTGTTGATGTTATATAATCACACAAATAAACTGATAGGGACTAGGTTGATTAGGGGGCCGCTAACTTTTCCGGATATCTGGTATGGAGTCTACATGTTCTTCTCTGTATGTGTAGCAACTCGTAAGAGGGCATGGTCTAATTCCCTTGTTGTTCCTTCGACGATCAAGTTAGCAAGGTACTTGAGTGGGGGATAAATGGCGAAGTCTAGTAGTTCTTAAGCGCAGTGGAATGGAGAAAAATGTAGAGAAATTGCTTACCTTCGTGTTGGAAATAATTTTCCTTTTATGGTCATGAAGGAGGGGTATTTTGGTCTCTTCGGCCTACTCTGGGTTAGCGGCTGAGTCAGCGTCAATTTTACAGGTGTCGGCTGTGGAGTGGTCACAGAAGAGCGCGACCACTTTAGCATTAATGAGATGGGATATGCGGCATGCAAAACCGGTGTGATCCGATGTGTCATAAATAGTGCTGGGATGGAGAAATGATGGTGCATGTCAAGCATTTAATGTGATGTCGAAGCGCTGTCAACGGGGAGCTCGAGGCCGCAGTCGCCTTTTGACTTGTATTGAGGGGTGTCGAGAGGTAACGCCTTTCAAGTCGGCTCTCGTGAGATGCCAGCCAAATAACCAGTTCAGTAGCTTGCGACGAGTCATTTTTGACGAGAGAACAGACAAGTACAACCTTCCGAGTCGACCCAGCGAGATGTTAACTCGACGAGTCGGCTAAATCGGGCCCCTAACTGTCCCAAGTGTCGAGTCGACTGAATTAGGAGTAATGGGGGATACCTGCCTGTTGTTGACAAGAGATCACAATTTGACGACTGAAATCACCATAACACATGTCATTTTTTAATAGGATGGAAAATTAGTTCCACTATTTGATCTCTTTTAATATCAATTTTGGTTGAAGTTTTACCTTTAAATTATTTGAATATATTAGGAAAAATTAGAAATTAATATCAAAACGAATTAAGGATAAAATTGATCATGGAAATTTTTTCTCAAACTCGCTCTTTTATAAGGAGTATGATATGATATAAGGAGTATGATATGATATGATATAATATAATAAGATGATATGATTTCTTTCATCTATTTCTCAATGCCAATTCTTACATCTAAAAGCTACCTACACATCCTGCCTGGGTCTGTTGGAGCTTAGCCATATCGTATATCCATCAATCAAAATATATACAAGAGAGTCGGGTGCGGATCTCTGCAGAAAGCAAGACCCGAACCCGATTCACCAATGGAGAAAAGCAAAAACCCCTCTCAAAAACCCTAGCTCTCCACTCGTGAACACCAGAGGGAAACTCTAACAATGGCTTCTCGCTTGCGTTCAATCTCGAGGCCCGCTCTCTCTTTCATGAAATCGTCAGCGAAGAAGCCAACCAATCCATTCTCATCTTCGTCGTCTCCTCTCCAGTCTCGCCCTCTTCAATTCTCAAGGCAAGAAAACCCCAACACTCCCCCATGAAATGAACTTAGATCTCACTTTCTAATTAATTTTGTTTCCAGGGTTTCGCGAGGAATTGCGTCGTTGGAATCGATGCTGCCCTTCCACAGCGCGGTGTCGTCAGCTCGTCTGACGTCGAGATTGGGGATCGATTCAGCGGGCGGATCGAGGTCGCTATCTCAGGGTACGCTCTGCAGTTCGAACCCAGGGGTCTGATTCAAAATGTTCTTTATTGTTTCGTTACAGTAAGCAGCTGCTTCTCTGTTCTTTATTTCATGTGTGATTAGTATTTGGATCAGTCAATTCTGCTTGTTTTTGGGTTTGTTGAACAAAAAAAAAAATAATGATGAGAGGATATAATTTTAGCATTACTGTTGAGTTCGAATTGTAAGACCTACTACCACTTCACTAGTCATGGACAACTGTATCTCCTTGATTAAAAATTGAACCATTTTTTTATTTATTACAAGATGGGTTTATGTGTTTTTGATCCTTCTGAGATAGTGAAATTATTTGATTGTGCTAGTCAAGGTTTTAAATGTCGGATGTCGTGTTCATGTTGGACGGCTGAAATTCATGTCGGATAGCGAAAATCGGGGATATGTCGGGGACATGAAAACAATATTGGATTTCTCTATCGGTTTGTGTGCATATGTGTAATATAAATATCATAAATGAAATCTAAACATACTTAATAAAGTTTATTGTCTAACCATAAAAAAAGTAAATAACTTATGATGCTTAGAGTTGATGTTGAAGAAAAGAGACGAGAAAAGAGGAGTTCGATATTGGCAGTTAAGGAGAGGGAAGATCACCCAATGTTGATGAGGAAGGAACAGCTCAAACAAGAGACCGATGAGATGTCGAAGGAGAGAGAGAAGAGAAGCGACAGAAATGACTTCGGCCTTTTTTCCATTTTCTCTAACTGATCGGGTTTTATCTTTGGAAGCAACATTAAGACAATCATGAATTTAAACACAAACGTGATTAGACAAACATAACCAAAAAAAAATTAATCAATTTTTCAAACTAAAAAATAGCCTGACATATCCGACATTGTCCCCTGATATATCCGCCCGACATATCTGACATGTCCCCCGATATATCCAACATGAACCCTAAAAACGTAATATGTCAATACGCATTGAAAAGCTCCATATCGTGTTGGTTGGCCCATAAATCCGACATGTCGACCGATATTTAAAACGCTGGTGTTAGCTCAATGACTTCACGTAAGAGAGGAGCCTAAATTATCAGTTTGGTATATTTTGTTGACCCTAATTACCTTCGTATATTTTCTTATTTCGATGACGATAAAGTATATAAAGTGGGACACATGACAAGAAGGCCTATTTTTTGGCCGGAGCATTTTTTTATGATTAAGTGTGACATATGACTCGTCACGTAATGCTGATGTGTCTTTTTACGTGGCAGGTAGTTGGGCTCATTCATTTGAGCTGAGTAGGGGTATTTCTTGAAATTAGGGCTCAAAGGGATGATTATCAAATTGGGTGTTCTTCCTTTGAATGGTAAAACCGGGTTAGGAAATCTCTACATTTTGGGGAAGAATCATTATCTCCCTATCATGAACAAGTAATATAAGGAAAAGAGTGAAGGGGGGAATTTGGAGATTTTTTCCATAACGGATAGCTAAATTCCCCGCTTAACATTTGTCACATAAGCTTAATTAACCTATGTAAAGCGCATTGATGAGTCATGTAAGGTGGTCTTGCCAGAAATTTTGCTCCAGCCCAAAAATTAGGTCTTGTGATTACCGAGCCCTATTTTATATACATTATCGTTGACGGTGTAAGAAAATATACTAACTTGGTTTAGGGCCTACAAAATGTACTAATCTGGTAATTTAGCCTAAGAGAATATAATATAGCAAATAGTCCTACCTGAGGTGGATGATATAAGTTCAAACTATTTGTTGAATAACCACTGTTATAAATAGCGATAAATAGCCCCGTAATAGCGGCGCTAATAGCGTTAGCGGTTCCTTCCCGCGACGCTATCGTCCGCTACGCTATCGCCTGCTATGCTATCGCGTAATAGCGTGACATATTGTTGAATATGTCTGTTCGCAAAAGCGGACAATAATGTGTCATAACGGTAAATAGTGAGCGATTGCATTCGAAATTTACTTTTTGATTGCTATTTAAAAGCGATTTGAGGCTTATTTTTTTAAAATTAAACTCAACCATTGACCATTGTATTCCATCGTCTCCTGCGATTTTCAACATACTCCCGTCACCTCTCATAGCCTCTGGCACCTACCTTGATACTTCCTCTCACCTCCTTCACCGTGAGCTCCTCTTAGGACAGTCCTGTCACCGCTAAGGTTTTAAATATCGGATATCGGGGAAATATCGGATGGCCAAAATTCATATCGGATTGCGGATATCGAGGAAATATCGGGGATATGTGGTAAATATCGGAATGCCATAATGAATGTTTGCATACATAGTATAATGCATTAAAATGTAATCTCAACATATGTAATGAAATTTAAGCATACAAATATGAATAATATATGTTTAGGATCACTAATCAACCTTCTAACATATGTAATGAAATTTAAGCATACAAATATGAATAATATATGTTTAGGATCACTAATCAACCTTCTAAAACAAACAAAAGTACAAAGCAACGTTACAACATTCGATCTGTTTTTTTTAGGGCAAAATGTCATTTGATATAATGGGAAAATCTTGATATCTCGCCTTTTTAGGGCAAAATGTCATTTGATATAATGGGAAAATCTTGATATCTCGCCCAAAAATTCCAAACACGGTATATTATTTTACAACAAGCTATATAAAAAGATATATTGGTCCACATATCGGCTAATATATCGGTCATATCGGGGATTTATCACTCAAAATAGCCAAAAAACGGTAAAGGATATTTAAAGACCATATCGGTTGCGGCAAGCCCTGTAAAAGGATATATCGGGGGATATATCGGGCCATGTTGGGGATATTTAAAACAATGGTCACCGCTAAGCTCTTTTTTTCGAAGACAATGACTTTTTGACTCCTCCAGTTATCTTCGGTATTACGTGATGGTTACATGCCTATTTCATGTTTAGGATCTCTTTAAATCAGTCAATATGTACTTTTAGATTTCTTAATTTTTTTAATTTTTTAGTATTTATACATATCTAAATTAGACCGCTATTTGACTTTGCGCTTTTTATTATTATTTTACCGTAATAACCCAAAATAGCCTTAGCGATGCCTCACTGCTACGCGACGCTATCCGCTATCGATAACCTTGTGAATAACTAAAATATACTTCGAGTTCTGAAATGTAGTGTGTTTGGGTTTCGTTTGATTGCTAGGTTGCCTTTATCTGTATGCTGCAGTATTGTGTTTTTTATTATTTGCATTACCAATTAGTTTAGATTAGGTATTACGGCTCGTGTGGCACATGAGAATTGAGTTAAGTGAGAATGGAATGAAGGTAGGAATGAAATGGAATTGATGTAGGAATGTAATGCTTATTCTCATTCTCATGTTTGGGTGCGATTAGAAAATTAAGTGAGAATATTTTTAAGAAGGGTATATCTAAAATTTATTTTATTATTTTCATTCCCACTTAAGTGGGAATATCAATTGCTTGATAACTTATTGGATTTGGGAACATCAATTCCCTCATTAAGTGAGTTGATGAGAAGTGAGAATAACATTTCTAACATTCGAAAACACATCATGTTTGGTAAGCATGAATGAGAAGTTGGAATTATATTCCATTGCCACTCATTCTCGTGTACCAAACGAGGCGATAGCATTGTTTTAAAAAACTTCCGCCTAGTCCGCTTAGGCGTACGTCTAGACCTAGACGGTACCTAGACCGTCTAACTAGCGCCTAGCGTCTAGACGGTATTTAGGCTGCCCACCGGTACCTAGACCGTCTAACTAGCGCCTAGCGTCTAGACGGTATTTAGGCTGCCCACCTAGATTTTACGAGTGTTTAGGGGAGCATTATCTGCTTACGCAGATTGCACCCTGTAGGCCTTGATTGTGATTTTGTGTCGTAGCCTACACGTCCTCCAAACTCCATTAACCTTCAAATATGAACATCTCCACTACCTCCTCTGACCTTCAGCAAAACCTCATCGACCACCACTTAAATGAAGAAAGAAAAAAAACGTCCAGAAATCACTTAGGCGCCCGCCTAGGTGACTAAGCGCTGGGCGCCAAGTCCGACGCCTAGAAGCGCCCAGCGTTTAATGTAACATTGGACGTTAGTGTTATTCTACAACAGATATGTGCTTTCCTGCTAGCTGTAGGTAGTGTTCTAAAAATGGATTATGTAGTTGTTTACTTTTGATGACCCTAATGCGGGCTAAAATCGCTTAGGTTTTAGGAAAAGCGACCATTATGAGGCGATTCGTATAATCGAGTGCTTTTTAGGCTTTTTAGTTTTGTGCCCATAAGCGCTTTTTTATGTGCCCACATAAAAAGTTTTTGCGAGCATTTTTTATTCTAAAATAACTTTTGGCTAAAATTTTTAAAGTCAAACCCTACATGCTTAGCCTCTTTTAAAAAAAAGCCCTAGTCCTAAACTCCTCATTGAAGTCGTTCTCTTCTCTTTCTCCTCTAATCATTCCCAAAATCGTAGCTTGTGAGTCATTTTGACATCTATTCTGACTCTCACTTACCTTCATTAGCACTCATTGATGATCTCTGACGAAGTGTTCAACGAAGTAGTCAATTTGTTTTGAGTTCACGAACTTTTAGTTTTAGTTTACACCTAATTATTAATTTTGATGTATGGATTAAAATTTTAAGTAGTTAACTAGTTATTGGTTGCTTAATTCGATGCTTGTTGCCTTTCTCTTGGAATATTTTATATTTTTCATGAATGTATGTATGCATGTGTTTATATATATACAAACCCGGAGCTGAACCAAAGACTGTGGGAGCCCTATTGAAACCTATCAGCCATCCGGGTATATATTTTGATGTATATGAATAATAAATAGATTTTTTTTGAAATAGATAAATTTAATTACCAAAATTGATTGAAAATGTTTTTATTTTAATTAGCAAAATCGATCACTTTTAGTCACGATAGTATGAAAATTGGCCGATTTTGGATAATGCAATTTTTAAAAAATATGGGACTAGTAGCCTTGTGTAATTAGTGTAGTAATTACTTTTTTAAATACAATTCGTAATTCCCCCCTTGTACCATGCTTCACCTCTTTCTGATTTCTATCTTTAGCATAGATATATTGTCAGTCATCAACTCCGACGCGCTTCATCTTGGCGCTTCATATCGTTCGTGATTGTATATCGTCCATCGTCATCAACTCCAGTGTTGCCCGTGATCTCAACATCACAAAGAGCACGAACGAGATCAGAACCAAAAGGATTGAAACTACGACATGTAGTGTTGAATCTTAATGGGTATGGATTCTTGTTGAGCACACTTCATCTTGGTGTCGAGGTCCGCATAAGAGTAGGTGAGCTCGACAACGGAGGGAGATCGGTAGCGAATATGGTGGGCAAAGGAGGAGGAAGCGAAGGGGATGGTGGTTGGCATGCGATTGAGGGGGAGGGGAGTGAGGCAGCAATGGGCTAAGGAGGGGAAATAGAGGAGGGTAGATTTTTCCCAATGTGGGAAGTACGGGATTACTAGTCCTACATTCTAAAATATTGCGATTAAGCTATAATTAGCCAACACTAATTACACAGGACCACTAGGGTCATGTTTTTTGTAAATTGCATTTTGCAAAATCAACAATTTTCAGCCAGCCGTGCTGACGTGATTATAAAGTGATCGATTTTGCTAATCTAAAATATTTTTGCTAATTAAAAAAATTCTCATAATAAAATATGTTAAGATACACATAATTCTGTGTAATCCAATTAATTATTCAATTAATCATTACTTGTCCTTGGACCTCACGCATAATAAAACCATGTTATTTAACTTTGGTTGTAGGAAATTCTTGTTTTGTCCTTTTGTATGTATGTATGTCCAATATATGCTTACATTTATAGTCGTGCCAATATATGCTTACATTTATAGTCGTGCTCAATAGCTTTTAAGTGCCTAAAGGATGTGCTTATTTTCTGCTTAAATAAATCTGATTGGTCAAGCGACTGGTTGGGGTTATGGAGTAATTTACTCAATAGAAACACACATAAAATCGATATTTCTGATTAAATATGCCTAATAGCTATGAGCATATGAAGTTATCTTCTTTATTAAGTTCCTTCATCCCGTTTCCGCGATCGAATAACAAGAGAAAGAAATGAGGATACAAGATAAATTTGAGCATGGAAGCTGGTTGAATGACAAAGCATCTTGTCTCTCACATTACTGGATAAGAAATTGATAGCTTGGTTGTAACTTGATTGTATTAGGCAAGCAATTAGTTGAATCATGGAGCAGTTTCTCCGTAAAGGACATAGAAAGTATCTTTTCTGATTTAATATGTCCAGTGGCACAAGTTTGAACTTATCTTCTACAACCGACTTACGTGCTCAAATAGCAAGAGAGCTAATCAGATACTACGTGATTATGATTAGTTTTGGAAAACAAATCCAACTTTACTTTCTTGATATTTAGGCAATAACTTCACTAGTTAAAGAGACAATTTTCCACTGCTTTTTATTGCACAAGAAAATCGAGGTACTTTGTGGTTATGATTAGTTTGGGAATAAAATCCAAGTTGGCATGCTTGATAATTGATATTTGGATCAATTGCCAGAGTCTTAAATTTTTTCTGGTCAATAGCTATTATGATCCAGGGTTTCTTCTTTTGATCCTTTTTTTGAAATTGTATTCTTTATTTCGTTGAATATTATTTAGATTTCCTTTCAAAGCTTGAATAATTTTGAATATTATCAAACCTTGTATCTTAAAAATCATTGCAGAAATCTTTAAATTTCCCAGTATAAGAAATATAAGAAACCTATTGTAATAGAAATCTATTGGTACATTGTCAAAGGTAGTGCTTGAGATGATGCATTGGACTTAGCTTTCCAATAATAAGGTTTATTACTATTTGCATTTTGAACCCTGTCCATGTTCTATAGTGTATCTACTTGGACAACCAGTTGAAAATTGCAAGTCTCTCCATTTTCTTAGCTTTATAATGCTTTTGTTTGGCTTTTTACAATTTCATGCAAATTAGAAAAAAAAAAATTATACTGTTAAATTTTTTACTTTTTCACTTACATGTCTATCAAATAAAGATTGGCGGTGCCTTTTCTATTGTCTTGAAATTTCATTCACCCTTCATTGTCAATCAAAGTACAGGATTGGATGATCCATATTAGTTGTTTGCATGGTGTCCATTTTATAGTACTAGTCTAAAGACTAAGAGGACTTATTGTCATATGTTTTCCTTTAAACCAATTTGAACGAAAGTTCGAGAGAAGGGTGCTATAATCATGGAACAGAAATGTGATTACTGGCACGAAATTGTTATTTTAATATAAAGTTATAAATGTTGAGAAGTTATGTTTATTGCTGACTTGCTGTGTCCTTAAATATTGTTTCAGATCATTTACAAAACCTGCTCGAAAACAAATTAAATCCAGTGGGCCCAACAATTGACACTAGAAAGGCTACGTAGATCATTAGTTAGGCTGACACATTATATTAGCAGGTTTGATCTCTGGATATTCCTTTGATGATTTGTTTATTACGACAACTTTTATTTGTGATATACATCCAATTTTTAGGGGAAAAACATTAGCTAATGCTTAAAGGAGCCTGATTATATATGTGAGAAACATTTTTACAAGATATACAGGTCATAGTTATGGAGAAACATTAACTGTGGCACCATGGGGCCTAAGTTATATGTGGGCGAAGCTTTTCTAAGCAACAAAATGAGTTAGCTGAGGAGAGGACTATTTATTTGTAATTTTCTAATCAAACTTTGTTTTGCATTCTTGCATCCCTTCCATAAACAATGACATCTCTTACTTGTTTCCTTGGTGAAAATAATTGTGTTATCTGCAAATCCGGCAGTGATAAAAACTAATGGTTTCGTGTGTAACTTTATTTGCTGTCAAGTATGATCTCTCTTGTTTGTGGGCTTCATTCAGTTTTACGTATCGACTATGTCTGGTAGATCTATGTTACTCTTGTTGGTACTTGTCCATGTTTTATTTGTGTGCTAATTGTATGGATATTAATTATGACTGATTGGTTATCTCGCATAAGTTTTGTATATCTCATCAACTTACTATTTTTTTTGCTTTTCCTGCCTTGACTTGCTGATTGATTGGTATTACAAACAAAGACTATTAGTAGAGAAAATGTCTTCAAAATATGTTCTTTATCATGTGAGCTGAGTTAATTTCCTTCATAATTCATTTTTATTTTCTTTTTTTCTTTTCATAAGAAAGGCACATATATGTACCAGCTTCCAAGGAGGGATGAACAACTTAATTGGGAAAGAAGCTTACATGAGGAAGTAATAACTCTTTGAGATGAACCCTCCAAACTTGAGGATAGAAGATAGAAAATCTGTATGCAGGTCACATTTAAAAAAAAATATGCATCCTAAAGTGGAATAAATTACTAAGTACTTTGTGAATGATATAGGGAAAAGGAATTCACACTCCATTTGGTTGGTGGAATAAATTACTAAATACTTTGTGAATGATATAGGGAAAAGGAGTTCACATTCCATTTGGTTGCCTGAATATTTATCACATTACTTGAAAATTTTCCAGGAGTAAATCATTGACGGTTTGTGTTTTTTTATCACAAATTTTAATTTTTATCAATTATTTATTATTAGTGTGACTGTGATGTGAACCCACAACCCTTCACGAGGAAATGCCATGCACTAACTGCTGTTCTATTCTCCTATTGCTTAAGCCAGTGGAATAGGATTCATGTAGCCGACTCCAAACACTTGGGGTAGAGGCTTTGTAGTTTGCCTATTTCTTTTTTTCATAGTATAATTATAGTTGTTTAAAAAAAGGCGTGTTGATAGAAAGAGAGCAATATTTCTATGCTCAAAGACAATGGACGGGACAGACTTTCTATCTGGGGTCACTTTGTGTGTTCGGTGTAGGGGCCATTTTTCCAAATATGGCAGATGTGGGCGTATATTCATGAAAACCCTTCAGAAAATATCAGCTGAGGTTCTACGATGGATAAGTCACAACAATGTTTTACCCATACATTCAGCCATTTCTTTCATATATTCACTTCATAGATCAATAACTTGGTGAGCGTATCAGCCCAAATTCACTGCACTTTCCTCCATTTGAATGATGCTTTGTCTACTGCTTTTTAAGGACTTAGCACCTTCTGATGAAATAATGCTTTATATTCATAACAAGACCTTGATATGTTTCTTCCTTTTTTTTCTCCCAGAGCTAGGTGTCTCTGTACCTCGATAAAATGCCAAGAGATTTAACGGACTTGAGAGCAATTTTGTGAGTGGCTGGATCCTAATGCAGACCTTTTCATTTCTTGTATGAACTACATTCTTATAGCCCGCTGTCTTGTATTAAGGTTACGTACCTTTGATGTTTCTCTTGCAAAGTTGAATTGTTGTGCAAACTAATTATTCATAAAAAACCATGAAAGGTTTTGTGTTCGGCACTCGTTCTTGTGATCAGAAATCACTTGTTCTGGTACATAGTTGATTCTTATTGCTATTACCCGACCTCTATTTGAATATGAGCATCTTAATCAATTTGGAAAACAATGGATCGTTGAAATGGATTGAAGTGATTTTTAGTTGCATTGTTATATTTTTGTCCTTTAATATTTATGCAGCTTCCTAAATTTGTTGCATCCTTTGCCGGATGTAGTTTATGTGCGGTTTTTTTTTCTTTTTAATTATTTTTTGTTGCCTAAAGTTTGCAAATGCATAAATGTTTAGAGGATCCCTATTATCAATTGGTTAGTTGCTTAATTAGTTCTGGTTCTTTCTTTTGATTGCTTCTGCATTAAAAAAGAAATTCGGTTGGATCCTCTCCAATATCGAAGGAAAGGGAGAGGTCGCTTCTTATTAATTAAAATAGTATGTTAATTATGGGATGATTGCATTCAAAATTTGACTGTCCGCATTCGAACCTGATTCCGCTTTGATCGTAGATGAGTAAATGCTTGACGGCGAGATTCATGCGTGAATTGATTATGGGCCCGCGACCTTAGGGCCTGTTTGTTTCGCAAAAAATTGCAGAAAGTGGGGGAAAGAAAATGAATTTTGATGTTTTTCTCTACTTTTTGAAGTTTGGTTCGTCAAAATTCGGAAAGGAAGTGAGGGAGAAAATGAGTTCACCATATTATTGGATGAGATGAGTAACTTTTGATGTTTTCCTTCACTTTCTTTATTTTTTGTTCTTTCTTGTATTTGGTTCATTCTTAAAACTAAGAAAACAAATGAGAGAAAATGAGTTGTTATTATATTATTGGATGATGTGATCCATACTTATGAAAATCAATTTTCTTATTTTTTTGGAGGAAATGGATGGAAGAAAATTTTAATGAGATGTGATGAGTTGTCACCATATTATTGAATGATGTGAGTAATTTTTAAAGATGGTAGAAAATAAAGAAAAGTTGGGTGATGTGAGTTAAATGAGTTGATTGATGTGACTCATTTTTTGTGTTTAGTTTATTTTTAAAAGTAAGAAATGAGATGTGATGGGATGAGTTGTCACAATATTATTGGGAGAAAGTGAAGGAAAGTGTGTTAAAGAAAGTGAGGGAAATTAAAAAAGTGGGGGAAAGTGAAAAAGTGAAGGAAAGTGAGTTTTGGATTCTGGGGGAAGCGAAACAAACAGGCCCTTAGAAGAAAGAACTGTCACCCTAGACCACCCAAAACTGTTAATTAGCTAATTAAGGTGATTATTCATTGAAAATCATGAAATATCCACATAACCTAGAAATCCAATCTTTTCTCTTTTGCTAAAATATATCAAAGAAAAATTATTAATTCTTATGGTTATTTCATAGAAACCAACTTTAAAATAGAGTCATTCTATAAAAACCACATTTGATTTTTAATATATACATAAATCACTTTTAGAGTGTTTTTTGTTGCAATCAACCACCTGGATGAGAGATGATCACTAATTGAGATTAGGTGATGTTAATTATCGAAAAATTTAACTGAAAAGTAGGTCTAGATGGTAGATTAACCCAAAAAAAAGTTACTTATGTATAAATTGAAAATAAAATTTGGTTTCTAAGGACTGACCATATTTTAAAGGTTGTTTCTACGGGGAAAAAAACTCTAAGCATATGCTACAAGTTATGAACAATAACAATTATAGGTAGAGGTAGGCATTGGGCTGGTTTAGCCCTCGAGTCCGCTAGGCGGCCCCTCAATAGGATTCCTCTCATTATGTCCTTCAATTTCTCTATTTTGTTTGTGTAAATCACATGATAAGTGTTTTTTAGCCCATCAATCATTTGCAATCCATGCATCTGGCTTATTCTGCCATGTAGAAACTAGAAGCAAATCATAGAAATAAAGGGGGGGAAAAGCTTAAACTTCGTATTTAAAAAATTTGTAACATGAATGATGATCTAAGAGTTTCAGATAGTTATATCAAATTTCTAAAATACAGTTTCAATATAAAACGTCTAAACATCATGTGGTTGGATTATGGACATATTTTCGCCAGTTGGTGATGGAATCATGGATATCTTGAACATTAATGTCTTGATGTTGATCGAAATTAGTATTGTCTTGAGAGTGATTTATGATCTATAGTTTATTTCTAAATACAATGTAAGTAAGCATTCTTATCTATCTTATTCATTTAGATTAACGAAGAGTATGAGACAGTTCCTACGGATCAAAAAAAAATTGACGAACGTTAAAAATGTGGAAGAATGACGTTATGAAAAGTTAAAAAAAAAGTTCTTATTAATCCAATTTAAATTTAGTGATAGATAAGGCAGGGGCGATTTTGGGGACGATTTTGGGAGCGATTAGGGTTTTTGTCTAACCCTAACGGTAAGAGATATTAGTTTTGATTCTTCTTTTTGCTTTCTCCTGTGTTGATTCTTGGGGAATTTTTTGATTCTTCCTTTGAGTTTTAGGTTTTTTTTGAGTGAATCTTGTTGAATTCAAAGGATTTTTTTGAGTGAATCTTGTTGAATTCACTTCTTTAATAAAAAAAAAGAAGAAGAACTTTAAAAAAAAGGATCTGATTCGCTGCTTTGTTTGAGTCTTCTTTTGATTGAAGATCTTTTTGAGTGATTTTGGCAGTTTTTTTCAAAAAAAAAGTGAAAAAAAAGTGCAAATATGGCAGTTTTAGGGTTTAATCCGATGGAATTGATTGGGCCAATTGATACAACTAATTTTGTGGCTCAGAGAATTTGGGGTGAAAAGTTCCCATCTTTAATTTCTGATTCTTTTTTCTCAAAGCCCATTTCAAAGCCCAAGCCTGCTGTGGAGGATTCTAGAGTTGAGGTAACTAGGGTTAACAAAGGGGTTGGGTTAGGGTTAAAATCTACGGTTGGATTGGACCCATCTTGCAGATCCCTAGAAGAGTTAAAGGTGGATGTTAATAAAGGAGACTGGGTTAGCGTTGTTAAACGAAACCCTAGATCGCCTCAGACCAAAAAATCTGCTCCTCTTAGTCATCTTTCTGCTGATTTTATTCGACGAAATAGTTTGTGTTTTTGTTGTGGAGGATCGAAACATATGGCAAAAGATTGTAGAGATCCGGTTGTATGTTTCAGATGTCAAGGAGTTGGTCATGAAGCTAAGAATTGTTCTCGATCTGAAGGTGGAGGTCGTGGTAATGGAGGTAGAGGTTCTGGGTTTGGAGGTCGTGGTCATTTGGGTGGTAGATCTGGAGGTAATTTTGGAAATCGTGGTGGTGGAGGACGTTTTGGTCAAAACCCTAATGTGGGTGGGGGTGCTGGTAGGTTGAATCCTTGGCAATCGTAGAGGACGAGGACGGCATTTCAGCTCAATCTCCAGATATCTAGTAGTTAACGGCAGCAAGTAAAGCGGAAAAGACCTCTTTCATCGTTAATGGAAGATCATGAATCATGTTGTTCAATTGTCAATATCATGGACCTACGAGATTTGAGGGATTTGGAGGCTGACTGAAATAATTTCAGGTGATCGCCCCCGATTTTCTTCTGCTGTTCTTCGTTTTGAAGGAGAGGTGAATTCTGGGTTCCAAAAATTTAGAAATTTTGCTATAATTTCTTTTGTGGAAGGGGGTAATGTATCGTTAGAAAGATTGGAACTAGATTTGAGAGCTTATTTTCCTTTAAATAAGCATTGGGATGTGAGGCTTTTTACTAATGGAGAAGTTTTAGTTAAAATTCAACCGTGGAGGCAAATGGAGGATCTAATAAAAATGGGAGTTATATCTCTAAGATCTTGTAAAATCAAGTTTAGAAGATGGAATGCTTGGGAAGGGAATGTGGTGGAAAAGAGAATTGCTCAGGTATGGATTAAATTGAAACATGTTCCTCCTCATTTATGGAATAGGGAATCCTTTGAGTTGATGGTGAAACCTTTTGCTGATTTAGTTGATCTTGATCCACTGACAAATGCTGCTTCAGAATTTGTGGATGCTGTTGTGTTGGTCAAATGTCTAGAATATATTGATATTCCTAAAGTTTTGAAGATTTTTGTGGGGAAAAATCAGTATAATGTTGATGTTTCTATTATGTCGATTATGGGTGAAAGTGTTGAAGCTGATAAGAAAAAACAGAAAGTGGATCATATAGTTGATAATAATCAGAGTTCTTATCAGGATAAATGGTTTAAAGGGAGAAAGGATAGTGGATCTGGTTCTTCTGATAATAATTCATGGACTGTTAGACAAGATCTACGGAATAATCCATGGGATTCTCCAGCTGCCAGGCTGTGGAATGAAGCCAAATCTTTTTATCAAAACAAAAAGCCAGTGTGGGGTAGTTGGGAAAATAAATCTTCAAAAGATAGTGAAGTTGAGCAAGTTCCAGATCAAGTGAAGAAATCTGATAATGAATTTCTGATGGATCAAGCTATGAAAGAAGATAATATTAAGAATGCTGAGTTGGAAGTGAATACCTCGAATGCTGAGTTGGAAGTGAATACCTCTTTGTCTCCTATCATATCTGAAGACAATGTAGTTCAGGAGGTAAAAGAAGATGTTGCAGTAGAAGAGTCTAACAATAGAGCTCTTTTGGATAGTGAAAATTTTGATGGGGGAAATTGGTTATCAGTATTTTACAACAATGAGGAGGGAATAGAAAGAGAAGAAGATTTTCCAATTATTCAACCTTTGAATTCCTTACCTCCTGCAGAGCATAGTCTTAGCTCTAAAGTTGCTTATGTTAGAAGATGCTCCAGGTTTGTAGATTATGAACCTATGACTGCTTTGGACAGAGCTACATCAAGAGCTGCGTTGAAAGACTCTGACAAAAGTTCTCATGGAGCTTCTTCAGGTGAAAGTTCTTCTTCTTTGGGTTCTTCTTTTGTGCCTATTCTTTTTGATGTCTGTTCTGATAAGCAGTTAAAAAAATTTGCTGCAAATTGTGCCATTAATCTTGAACCTCAAGGGGATTTTGATCCTTTAAAAAAAGTGAGGCAAATGGAGCAAGAGAGGGCTACTTTTGAGTAGTCTTTGGCTATTTGTGATTGAGGAGTTTGTTTATATTACATATGTTGATTACATGGAATGTAAGAGGACTT